AAGTTAAATTTAATATGCTGCTTTAAAAGCAGTTTTTAAAAACCACTTTCTGACATCGCGTTCTAATCAGAGGGAATTGTTCAATATCAAAACAAGAACCATAAATCAGACACCAGATCCGGTGTGCTGTGCCGAGTTAAATCAACGTTGTAAATTATGTGCTGTACGGCTCTTTTTCAAGTCATCCTTAAGGCTCATTTATATTCAGTTTACAAGTGCTGGCTGTGAATATTAAAATGCCATCAGGCACGGCACCACAGAAGAGGGAGACTCTCAATCATTTCTCTGAGGACAGACAGGGCAGCCTGCCGGGCAGTTGTGGTTTGTTTGGTTACTGGGGTTGATTGAAGAAGTCTGGCTACACTGCAGAGGACAAGAAACTGACTTGGCAACAGCTGCTGTTTTTCCGCCATTCCTGAAACATGGAGGTAGGTGTCACCCGTAGTTGTTGCTGTTTATGACATTCTAAAGTGAATCCACCTCTTGCAGAAACAGCTCCACCACACAAACACAAGTGTCAGAAACAGTGGATTGGCAGCTGGCATCTGACCACTGCAGCAAAATTAATTCAGCTTCAAACCATCATCGCTGTATTATACCTTTTAGGATGGAGTTCAATAGTAAATGGCAATTTCACCTTTAAATATGGGGTAGGACCAGAAACCAACAACATTTTAGTGAAATATTTAAACAAGTGTTAAAAACCTCCTCAGACTTTCCCGACTAACATGATGCGACTTGCATAAATAGCGAATGAGAAAAGGCACTACTTAGGATTGAAAAATGAGTACCATTGTGTAGTCTCAAATGAAACACAACACTCAACAATAGCACCGTGCAGTTAAACCTTAACCCTGCTAAATAAACAGCAACACTGTGCAATTACACACTGAATAACCCTCACATTGAATAAACAACAATGGCATACTGTTACAAACAGTAACTCTTATGCTGCTGAATAAACGTGCAACTACAGATTTGTTGGTCTCAACTATTTATAAACTTTCATTTCTTTTAACTTTTCATTTTCATGGCCTGAAGTTCTGCCTACCTTAATGAGCTAATGGCTTTGTCATTTCTACATCTCCCATCACCTAGCTGCCAGAATAATAATAATGACATTTGCTTCACCTCATGTTAAGAAATATGCATTACTCCATATTTCCCCAATTTTCTCAAACTATTAAGATTCTTCTCCAATTTGGGAAAATAGGACACTGTTGCTGGACAGTTTCCCCATTTTGCTGCTTGATGTAGCAGGAACAGAATTCTATGAAGAGGCCACAGAAATAAGGAAGTATCTTTCAATTATACATCCTCAACCCTTACATCCACAGTACAAGTTAAGTCCATTGGGCTTGTACATGCTTGCTCCATCTCATGTTGCACGTATCTCCCAGACCACCATTCTTCCTCTACCCCCCAATTCCTGGTGCATAAAGGGAAGAGGCCTATAACTTATGAAGGAAATCCCTGTCCAACATTCTTCTCTGACCCAGATTCAGATAATCTGAAAGAAATTCCAAACTATTGATTATAACCTTAAAATCAACATTTTGGAACAATGACCTTATGGTTTTCAAATAAATACACCTCATACTTTTCTGAAGGACTGCTAGAAATCCGTCCTCGTGACCACCTGCAGATAATAGTTCCAAAGGTCAACTCCCGCCTTTTAGGAAAAGCTACATGGTTCCACAAGAGTCTCTCTCATACCTTGTTTCTCAACTTTTATATACGATCCAGACCATACAATACTCTAGATGAAATCTCAATCGAGTCTTGTATAGTCCTAATATTGCAGTCCTATCTTTAAGCCTAACAATTCAGCGCAAGACATTGATTACTCTGTCAGTGTTTGAACCACTTAAAACTCAAAAGCCAAATCAATAAAAGTTCAATACTCTGTGGACATTTGTGCCGAGGAGAATTAAGTTAGAGAGTGGTTAAATGATACAATGTATTTGTTGGACCTCATTGTCTCACAGGTTTAAGCTTGTCTACTGTAGTGATATAAAGATATGCTTTATTGAAGAAAGTGTATTTTTATTTAATTTTTAATTCCATTTTTATTAATTTACTCCAGCTGGAGTAAATTACTCCACTAACTTAATTGCTGAAGAGGTGAAAGCCACATTCAAGTGACTTGGGATCACAAACATTGATGACAGAGCATTTGCTTCACTGTACCTTCTCCATTCCAACCCCACTGAAATGGAGACAACCTATCTGCAAAGCAACAACAGTAGTTGCCTAGCTGGAGTATAAAGGGGGGCCATCTCCTACAGCAAGGCTCCCCCCAATATCGGACACCTCTCTCTCTCTTAAATATCTCCTTCTCTCCGTCAAACACAACCCAGCCCCAATCCCACTCTGCTGCTCTCAGTCAGGGATCGCAGCAATTTTCAAACCTCAAAATGGGATTCCTTAGGAAGCACTATCTCAGAGCAAAGCACTAGGATGATAATCTGGGTGGAAAAAAAAACATTAGACATAATCACTTGTACAATGAAACACTGACCACAAAAGACAAGTGCTCAGACATAATCTCACTGTGTAAGGCAGGCAATGGAATACACTAACCATGACCAACAGTGGGCCATTTGCCAGTTGTAGAGAGCTCATGTGTCAAATCAACTAGCCAGTGTGTGTTTAAATAATTGTTTTCTCTGTAAACCAGAACTAGGAAGTGAGATGCTAAAGGAGTAAAATCTAAAGTGGTTTCTTCCTCTCTCTCTCTAGACAACCTGTCTGTTGGTCCTGTCTATCCAGGTAAAAAATTTTAAAAAGAATTTAACTCATAGCGACTGCTTCCAGAGGAGCAGATACGTGCTTAAACAACCTGGATGCCGAAAGCAGCAGGATCCCACCAGTTCAACAAGAAGCCTGTCACATCACTAACCAACAAGAGCTATATATCCTTCTAAATTGCTTAAACTGTTCACCAGCTCTCTAATCTATTTGTGTGAGTGTGAATTTGGTGTTTGTTAGTGTGTGAGAGAGAGGAAGTCTGGGCCTATTTAAATTAATTTTACTCAGACAGGATTAAATACAAAACTATCCACTTTTCTTAAAAAAAAACCTCAAGAAAACCTGTCTGACAATATAGCGCCAATACACCAAGGCAGTCCAATCCCCACACTCTACCACCCAAACACACACACACATACAGTCCCAACCAGCTAGTCTCCACACCCAACAGCCTCCACGCTGATTATGGGAATGCTTGCCATGAGTCTCATAGGAGCCATCCACTCTGGAACAAAAATACTGACCAGTTTCACATGGGTCAGTTTTGCAGACGCAGGGAATGATCTTGACATGCAGTGACATTCAGGTCTATTAGTCAACTACCTATTGAGATTGGAGTTAAATGAGAGTGTGAATAGGTAGAGGTGGCTGTCACATTTTCTGCAGAACATTAGTGAAATGAGTTGAGATTTTAATATCTTTTGGTGTCAGATCACAAATTAACATTTGCTGAATTAAATGCAGTGTCACTCTCTATTCCATCCTTCACTGCCAATCTTGGCACCTACCTTATAGTCCTTTTGTTCTGGAGACTAAATTGTGCTGCATGTTGAGTGCAGGACTTTAGGACTATAAAACCATAAGGCATAGAAACACGAGAAGGCCATTTGGCCCATGGAGTCAACTCTGCCATTCAATGAGATCATGACTTTCTTTTTGCCATGGTTTATGCAGGATCCAAATTCCCATCTGTACTCTGTAGCACATTTCAATCCTGCCAGAGTAGCAGCCTCAGAGGAGTGAATGGGGCAGTGTTTAGAGGGTGGACAAGTGCCAGTGTGGTTGATGGTGTGGGGTTGGGGGTGGGGGGGGAGGGTGCAGGGGGCGGGGGTGGTGGAGAAAGAAAACTGTGTCACTGCAGAAAACACAGGGGAAGACAAAAGGTGCCATTGTGGATAGTGGTGGGGAGGTGGTAGATTGCCTTCAGGCAAGATGTGGGGGTGGATGGTGCTGTGTGGAAGCGTGATTATTAAGAGATGAATAGGAGGAGGTGAACAAGAAAGTGGGAAACAGCAGCACTAAGCTGAATGGTAGTAATTATTAAAGATTGTTACTTTGAATGTAGGCAGAGCAGTAAAGAACCAGTGTAAACACAATCGCAGTGTACTGAAGATACATCAAAATGCATCAAAAATCAAAATGTTCTGGTGGAGTTTGTGCTGATGAGTACCATCCCCAATCATGGAACATTTCAAAATCTGCCATTGAACACTTGTTCCTGTAATACCAGTGATGGAATATTGTATGTGTTTTTAGATTTATGTGTATATCTAATAGATATGCATTTTTTTATACATACATTATATAGCTTAGATTACGGAAAGCTCATGTAGTGCTGTACTTTCACCAAAATGAGAACTTCTTGTACATTATGTGAGAGATCATTTGATCCATTTTACATAGAAAATAAATGGAATTGTAGAACATCATTACAAAATACAATTGCCTTCCAGCAGTGATTTTTCTCAAGGCCCTTTATTTTATGCTATTTTGCGGTTATGCATTTGTAAAAATTATTTTCACTTTTTAAAAGTTGTCCTCTTTTTTGAGGGGGAGGGGCTTTAAGCTTTACTTTGTTCTAAAAATGTGCCAACCAACTTTCCAGTGATTTATACGTTGATACATTTACCACAATGCTGCAATGTAATCCCATGGGATAATTGGCTTCAGTACGAAAGGTGATCAAGGCCTTAAGTATCTGCAGGACAGACCCTTTGCGTTTCCTTACAATGCTTCAATGATTTTTCTCATTAAAAGCTACCACCAGCAAAAGTAATTAAAAAGTACAACTGACAATGGTGCTCAGTTACACTTGGAATCTGTTTTGTAACTAAATTAAGATGGGATGTTATATTGTTACATTCTTTGGAGAAACTATGCTTTGTTTCTGAATGATCAGGCTGGCTCACATACTTTCTACTTTGTGCACTGTAAGTCATTGGGAACATCAGAAAGTTTACGTCACTGACCTGTGTCTTGCGTATTCTTAAGTCAGCTGAGGATCTGTTCTGACCCTCCTCCTGTTCTATGCTCTGTTCAATACCTGGAGAAATAAAATAGAAATATTGGAGATGCCTGGTGAAGAATGAAGGTCAGCCAAGGACCCAGTAAAAGATTAATACATATTATTAAAATAAAATGTATGGCACACAACATTCAGGGCACAATATACCATGATTACACAACATACATTACCCACTAATCTACAATTCACAAAATTGTACAATTCAGGCCATTTCTTGCATATGCAATTGCAATTACATTAATAATGTAATGTGATCATTCCAAAAAGACAGTGCATTGCAACTGACACCTGAATGGGATTTCACTGTCACAGTTACCTTTCAGTAAAGGGGATTTGGTGGAGTGTTGGGAGGGAACTGTAGGAAATCGGAGCTGAGTAGAAGTTGCATGTTTGGGCAATTCGGCAACAAAGGCATATAGGAGACAAAAGGCTAAATCTGATTTTTTGCTAATTGCGAGTTGCATCAAGTTTTTTGGAGGGCTTCTCACCGTGAGGCCAGACAAGATTTACCAAAGGCATCTCATCACCAACGTACCCATCTCTATAGTGTCTCTCATACCAAACTCCATCTCCTCTTAACACATACTATTCCCGGAACAACTCACCACTTGATGAATATCTGCCAAAAAAATCTGCATCCCTTGTGTCCATGCCATCTTTGATGGCTGTTCTGCACAGTGCAATTTCCCTCCGTAGTAAATTAATAGCACTGTAACGACAAAGCCATATTGCCTACGGCATACAACCAGCATTCTGATATTCCCTCACACATACAATCCCATTCTCTCACACTAGCTAGTTTACCTGTCCTTAGATACATCTCTTCTGAAGACTCTCCCTTAGTCCCTGATATTCTTTTCCCAATGCACAATGGTCACCTACACCTTGTTATTGTGCAAAAGGGAAACATCACATACAGGTAAGCATTCAGATAAGTCCGAACATGAGCTTTTGTTGACAGCCAGCAAAGAGGAACAATAAGCATATGAATCCAAGTTGCAATCTGAGCCCCCCACACTCCCCAACAATGCAAATCAATGCTGGTATCCTGACCCTGTCAATCCAAGATGGTCTGCTGCACCCAGCTCACATCGACTGGAACCAGCTGTCTGCCTTGTAGCACCCAATGCAGCAGAGTTGAATCATCTAAAAGGAGACCTTCCTCCAGCTCAATGTCCTCATCCATCTCCTCGGATAATTCTCCCAGTTCCTCAGCCTCTATCATGTAGCCTCCAATTGTGTAGAATGCAGTCGCCTGGATAGCGTGGTGCACTCTGTCCTGATTAAACTATAGGGCCTCCCAGGCTCTTTTCAGCAGCTCGATTAGAGTGTAGAACAGTACATCACAGGAACAGGCCCTTCAGCGTATCATGTCTGTGCTAACCATGATGCTATTCTAAACTAATCCCATCTTCTTGCACATGGTCCATATCCTTCTAATCTTTGCCTGTTCGCGTGTCTGTCTAAATGTCTCTTAAACTTATTAAATCTGCTTCTACCACCTCCGTTGGCAATGTGTTTCAGGGTACTACTACTACCCTCTGTGTGAAAAAAACTTTCCCCCTCTCACCTTAAACCTATGCCCCTGAGTATTTGCCATTTTCCACCCTGGGAGAGAAACTCCAACTAGCCACTCTCTCATTGCCTCTCATTACACTTCTATAGGTTGTCTCTCAACCTCCGATGGCCTAGCGAAAACAATTCAAGTTTGTCCAACCAATAAATATCAAAATACACCAATCTGAGCAAGCATCCAGCTCCACAATGCAGCCTGGTTCAATCTGTGCCTGTCCATGCACAAAACTGTCCATGCTTCAACCTTTCAATGCCAGTTACCAGTGAGCACTGCAATGCATGTCTGTGCTTCCTAAGTTACGTGCAAGTGGATCAGAGAGGTGCCAGGATGGTCATGAGAGATTAGCAAATGCCAGATGCCAGTGTTTGTGGGTAAGGGATGTGTGCGGCCATGGATCGTGTCCTGAAGTGCTGTTTGGTTCCAAGCATCATGGAGATCCTTCCAAGTGAGCAGTGAGCAAAAATGGCAAGGTACATGCTCTGGTTTCCATCTTGACATTTCTTGACATCTGGCTTCCTTGGCAAGATGAAATGTTGAAAAAAACGAGCTGAATTGGGCCTTTAATGAAGTATTTAACAAGCAATAATTCTGCTCAATTGGCAAGTCACTGCTGCCTAGTGAAAAACTTGCTTCATCACTTGGCAATAGCTTCAAAGATAGCCTAAGATGCTACCACTGCTGAGATAGACCATGTCAGATTTCTCACCATGGCTCACGTTGCTCAGACCCATACAAAATTCCACCCCAAGTGATCATCATTCTGCTGGCCACTGTTGGTATAAAGACAAGTTATGTGTACTGAGGTTGTGATCTGCAGGGTCGATGATCACAGAATGGAATCATCAGCAAGAGATGATGGGGTCACAATGAAGGAGAAGCAGAGTCCTGAGTTAACGGAAAGACTCATCTTTGCAACTTGAACGCAGCTTTGGTGAATGGGTGTCTGATTCAGAAGTGCAAACTGCTGGACTCTGCCGAAGGCTCTGAAGATGTCCAAGGTAATATATCACCACTGTGTCCGAGGATAGTGTGCCAGAGGCAAAGAGTACATGCAGCAAGATCAGCAACAGAGCAGCCATGCTGAAAATCATACAGGGATCGAGAGTTTGAGGTTATGAATGCCTCATGACTTTTGTAGTTTCAAATCACACCCAGTACAAAAGAGCTCTGTTGTAAAATTGAGACCAACTTACAGCTTCAGAACAAACACCAACAGGATTCATTAATGTTATGAAGCTGCAAATAATCAATGGATTGAACACACCTTTAATAAACCTTTTCAAACCCCCATTTGATCCTTGTCTTTTCCAGAATAATGATTTCAAAATCCTTCTCCTCATCTTCACCTCATTTTCTGAAGAAGGGTCCAGACCCGAAACATCAGCTTTCCTGCTCCTCTGATGCTGTCTGGCCTGCTGTGTTCATCCAGCTCTACACCTTGATATCTCCTTCTCCTCATCTTATGCTTTATTATCGTGCCACTTTTGTAATCTAACTTTTTGACATTATACATGCTTATTTACACCATTCATAATAAAGATTCTGGGCATCTCCTTTCATGCTATTGCAGAAAATACGGAGGCATGGGATTGAGGGTGATTTAGTGGTTTGGATCAGAAATTGGCTAGCTGTAAGAAGACAGAGGGTGGTGGTTGATGGGAAATGTTCATCCTGGAGTTCAGTTACTAGTGGTGTACCTCAAGGATCTGTTTTGGGGCCACTGCTGTTTGTCATTTTTATAAATGACCTGGATGAGGGCGTAGAAGGATGGGTTAGTAAATTTGCGGATGACACCAAAGTCGGTGGAGTTGTGGATAGTGCAGAAGGATGTTGTAGGTTACAGAGGGACATAGATAAGCTGCAGAGCTGGGCTGAGAGGTGGCAAATGGAGTTTAATGCGGAAAAGTGTGAGGTGATTCACTTTGGAAGGAGTAACAGGAATACAGAGTACTGGGCTAATGGTAAGATTCTTGGTAGTGTGGATGAGCAGAAAGATCTCGGTGTCCATGTGCATAGATCACTGAAAGTTGCCACCCAGGTTGATAGCGTTCTAAGAAGGCGTACAGCATGTTAGGTTTTATTGGTAGAGGGATTGAGTTTCGGAGCCATGAGGTCATGTTGCAGCTGTACAAAACTCTGGTGCGGCCGCACTTGGAGTATTGTGTACAGTTCTGGTCACCGCATTATAGGAAGGATGTGGAAGCATTGGAAAGGGTGCAGAGGAGATTTACCAGGATGTTGCCTGGTATGGAGGGAAGGTCTTATGAGGAAAGGCTGAGGGTTTTGAGGCTGTTTTCGTTAGAGAGAATAAGGATAAGAGGTGACTTGATAGAGACATACAAGATGATCAGAGGATTAGATAGGGTGGACAGTGGGAGCCTTTTTCCTCGGATGGTGATGGCTAGCACGAGGGGACATAGCTTTTAATTGAGGGGTGATAGATATAGGACAGATGTCAGAGGTAGGTTCTTTACTCAGAGAGTAGTAAGGGCGTGGAATGCCCTGCCTGCAAAAATAGTAGACTCGCCCACTTTAAGGGCATTTAAATGGTCATTGGATAAACATATGGATGATAATGGAATAGTTTAGGTTAGATGGGCTTCAGATAGGTTTCACAGGTCGGCGCAACATCGAGGGCCGAAGGGCCTGTACTGCGCTGTAATGTTCTATGTTCTATGTTCTATGTTCTATGCTACTCTCAGTTTCCATTTTGCTGGCAGAACCATTTGTTTTATCAGAAAAATTATCTGGCTAAGCATATTGTGATTTGTTGGTCATTGAGCTGTTATGAAACCTGGATATATGATTTGGTTTCTTGAAAGATGTATACACCATGATTACCAAGGCCATTGTACTTGGAGAGAAAGCATCTGCCTGCGACTGTAGCGTCCCGCATGCAAAAACTATTTAATGAGTGAATTGCATCAGACAAAGTACAAACTTTTGGATTCTTGAGGGCATACTCACATGTTCCTTTCCATCTGGTAGAGAAACTAAAGGTTTGTAAGTAATTTAAATGACCACTTTCAGATTAATAATATATTTTGAAAATCTCTTGCAAGCCCATGTAACTGGGAGAGCTTTCTTCTTAATCGCAGCATGGCATGTTACTGTATCAGATAATGCTCTTGATGCATTATAGACTGGTTTGAAACACCCATCTGCTCCTGGAAGTGAACTGCTGCTCAACCTGTAGCTGAAGCATCGGCTGTTATTATCATTGGATATGATGGATTATGTTCTGCTAAGGTATGTATAAAAGGTCAACATTTCTTTAATCTTCTGTAAAGCATTATCTTAATGAGGAATCCAACACCATACTTGTGTCTTCCATCGAATCCCTACAGTGTGGAAACAGGCCTTCGGCCCAACAAGTCTACACGGACTCAGACATCCCAACCATCCCCTAATCTACACATCCCTGAACGCTATGGACAATTTA